TTAGTGAAGGAAAGTGAGGCTCCGAAAATTTGGTCAGAGAGTCGAAGGACTTTCCGTCCAACCTGATGGTACACATGAAACAGGAAAAACCACTGCATGTCAACAGTCTCTCTCAGGACGACCATTCCCCCTTTACAACGTCCCTGAATTAATAAAAATCACCTATCAAAAAAATCTCTCAGCCCGGATGCAACCCTCCAAGCGACCAAATACGACCCCATTCTCCTGGGGAATCCCCAACAATGATGTGTTCTAGTGTCGATTGCCTTGCAACCCGGTCAACTCCTCCATTATACTGTGCTCTGCACTGCAATATGATCTCTTCGTATAACACACGAAAAGGTCCGGAAAGTTGTCCGAGATATGAGGATTCATGAGCAAACTCGTAGTGGAGGTGCTAAACTGACAAAGCAGCAAACTGTCAATAATGGGCAGAGTTTCGCGTGTCAGAGATTACGCTGAAAAAAGTGATGGAATACTGCTATTCATCCGTCACAATGGCCTTGAATGAAACTTCAAGCTATCAAAATACAATAAGTTCAGTATCGAACTGAGCAAAAGAAACGAGATTGCGGAAGGGCTAAACACACATTCAGAACAGCTTAAAAGTGCCGACAGAAGTGCACATTCCATTCTAGTCGCATCCTCTCACGACAATGCTCTTCTACGTGTTCTTCGCACTGATGCTTCTCAACGCCGTCACTGAAGGCTACAAGGTAATGCTTACTGACTAGGAGTCCTCATCTGAATGCTATGCTATGATAGAGTCACTGTGATGAGGCCAATTTCAGGGTTGTATTGACCGTGCTGGTTGGCACCTATGCGAAGTGATCAAGAAGGCTGGTTGGTGTACGAGCACAGATGCGGAACTGGTCTCTGCGGCGTCGCTCTACTGTCACGAAACATGTGACTTCTGTAGTTGGACCAATTAGCTTGGTTTCGCATAAAATTTCTCAATATTATATTAGAAGCGCTTAAGCCTACAACCAAAACGCACACCTTATTAGTTTGGAACACATCGCAGTTTGAATTCAGAATCCTTGACAAAGCACAGCGTAAACCGCGGTAGCTACAAAATGCTGTGCGGCAATGAGGAAGTTCGTTAAGGCTTAAATAATTGGGCGCTCTGGAGGATGATCTCACAGCGCTAATCGTCTCTCATGCAAAATATTGGTAACTTCACTGAGGAGAAATGAAGAGGACAGTGACAATCACCTCGTTATCTACACGGATAGCCTGGTCTGGTGCTGCAATTTCTTGACTGGGGTTGAAGATTTTTTCAATTGGCAATTCAGTGTGTGCCAATCGTTGCATGCATAGCACATTGTTGAGGAGTTACAATGAGAAGATCATACAGCATCACTAGAAAGGGGTCAGAAGTCAATGGGAATGATTAATCGAAAATAAATCGCAACTTCCGGACCTTCTGAACCCTTGCAACACATTTGCCTGCACGGGCAATCATTACGTGGAAACAGTTCACTTTTACCATTTCGTCGTGCTAGCCCATTGTATGCCGCGTACAAAAGGCACATGCATGCGTTCATCTAGGATTCCTGGTCAGTTATATTCTAAAGGAACATTTTCCAGAACATTTTCCAGTAAAGGACGTTCAAGCCAAAAAAAAGTGGCAGAGACGATGCCATGGAAAGTCCGTGGCATCGTTTCTGCCACTTTTTCAGCTTGGATTTCAAGGTGAAATCCAAGCGTGAACAACCGAAACGAGTGTGTATCCATTACGATTGATCTCCTCCGTGGAAGATTGCGAATTGCATAGACAGTACGCGGACACCTGGGTCCCTATAAATGAGAGTAATACTCATTCGCTTGTTAACTTACTAATTGCTGACCGTAGCGTAGCTTTTTAATAGACCCTTGTGGTGGAACAGGTGAGCTTTTCCATATTTTGGGTATTTTTTCCATGTGATATGACGTCAGAAATGCTAGAGAGGACAAGGCGTTCGAAGGAAGAGTGCAATCGTCAGGCTTTGAGCCATGTTTAGTCCTTTGACGACGACGAAGAGGTCAAAACTTTGGCTGAATAACACGCTTCCACCTAGAAAACCTTGTCGGTAAACTGAAGAAAGATTAGCTAGGGTTCAGTGGAATGTGAGGGTTCAGTTAGTGACGTTGGTGCTGCCATCTGATAAGTTACTTCTGAGGAAAATGTAACAAAGCTAGCGCGCATTCATGTCTCTTTAACTTGATGAAAATCCTGTTCAGTCTTTCACGACTGCAGGAAGTGGGATGTCAAGGCGAACCTTCTATTTATCACAGTCTCCATTATAAGAAGGAAGAGGTGGAATACTCTCGCAAGGTCTGCTTGTTTCAGTTTCTGTTCCGGACGAGGAGCGCGATGAAGTGGTCCGTAAAATGCCTCTGTTCATTCGGTAGCCAGGTCCGTGCTCGTAAAGAATGTACCACGTTGGTCATACGGACGTGCGAGTTAAAGCAGTGAGAGAGTCGTGATATCTAACCACTTCATCATTTCCAGGCAACAGGACAACGAGTTGCACCGCTAGTAATGAGCGAGATCCCTGGGATGTGGTAGATGTTGCTCTGCACTTCGTCTAAGCGTGGCGGTGGCTGTACTTCCGAAGAGATATTTTCATTTTGACACAGTGCGGTCGTGTCTCTGTCCAACACAGAACAAGATGACAGTTGTCTCAAGACTGAAATATCCCACGAGTAACCCATTCTGTGCCATGTTCGAATGCCACGCCTACTCCGTCTCAGGGATAAGG